TGATGGGTTTTTTTAAAGTGTTTTCTGTCCATCCATAAATTTAAAGTTTACGCAAATGTCAAACAGACTTTAGGTGGATTTATGGCAGAGTTTTAGGCAAAATATACAGATTAGTTGTCCTAACAACAAAAAAATCCATCCAAGATTTCCACCTGAAATAAAATTCTACCTGAACAAATGGGTCATAAATTTTATTTTGACTGACATTATCAAATAATATTTAGGGTTTTTTTGCCTTCATTTTCTTTCTTGCATACAAAACCTAATCTGTAATTTAAGTCTTTTTCATTTCACTGAAAGTTTGGTGAGATTTCACAAATATTTTGACCAAAACTTTCACTGAAATTTTGGCAAGATCTCACTAAAATTTCACTGAAATATTTGTGAGATTTCAGAAAAATTCTGACCAACATTCACTGAAATTCTACTGAAGTGTCTTTAAGTGAAAGTTTTGGTGAGTTCTCTAACATTTCATTGAATGTTTTGTGAGAATTTACTAAAACTGGTGAGATTTCAATTAAATTTTGATCATTATATAGTATTTTACTAATATTTCAGTAATTTTTCAGATATTTCAAATATATAATGGATATGAATTAAATAGGACTTTATTGACCAAGGTGATATTTCAGTGTACATGAAACAAAATTATACAGATGTTGTAATTATATGACATCGAAGGCAAGAGATATGGGAGTTAATAACAACAACAACAATAATAATAATAATAATAATAATAATAATAATAATAATAATAATAATAATAATAATAATAATAATAATAATAATAATAATGATAATAATAATGATGATAATAATAATAAAGACTTTATTTAGAGAAGGTAACTGAATTTTTTACAGAGGCCTTCTGTCTGTTATGTAAAATATATACAGTATATACAACATGATGTGAAGAATCTGGCTTGACACTAAATAATTAAGTGATTTTAAAAATCAAAGTATCCAGTCTAGAATATATGCATAGGCATCTGTGAACACATAGACATATATAAAATATAAAATAGTATCCATCATTGAAAAAACTGTGAAAATGATGCAAAATTACAGAAAAGCATCTTTTTGTGTCATTGATTATGAAAAGAAGAAATACTAAGAGCCTGCCTTATGTCAATGTTGTACTGCAGACTTGAGTTTTGATTACTATACAAACTATGATGCTCTTGTGGTCCCTTGAATTAGTCCTTGTTTCATAAGCAGCCGTGACAAACATTATGATATAATTACTCTTATTTTACATTGAATTCTTTGACAGACATGGGCAGGGTTCCTGCCACAATTTTAGACAAAGATTTAAGACCTTTACCAGACCAAAAAAAAAAAAATTTCCAGACCTAATAATGTGACAAGTTTATTGACCCACAAAGCTGACATGTTTTCAAAGTCATCAGCTTCCTCCCACAATGGTTAAAAACACAATGTCCAGGCATTCTTTAAAAATCAGGTCCACACAGGCACACAAGAAAATCAGTCCAAGATTGTCAAATCAAATAAAATGCAAATGAAATTAAAATGAGTACTCACTAGCACAACACAAAACTTTTAATGAAATAATCCATGAAACAGGGCTAATGCGGACCAGGAGAGTTGAAATTCAACGACTTTTCAATGACCAGTTTTCAGTGACTACTCATGGTATCAAGTGTTTTGCTTTAGATACTAATTTTAATACAAGAAACAAATATAAAATCAATACAGAAATAATTAAATGTAATATGAATGGGAAATGATATTTATAAAAGAAAGCCATTGTATCCCAGATGTCAACCATTGCCCTTTAGGTTCTATACTGTCTTCTCCAGCTGCAACTCCAGTGCTAATGGTGGGGATAGGGGGTACCCACTTGTTAAGAAAATAAGTGGGAGGGAGTAGAACAAAAAGGAGGGACAGGACGAAATGCCCATAGTTAACTATGTACCTAACACTACAATATCGATCTATCTTTTTCCAGCTATAATTTGTTAGAGTCCAAATGAAATCAAATTCTTAAAAAGTTGCTACCAATACCTATAGTTGTATACACATGGGAAACTAATCCTTATTTTTATAATGCATATTTTTCACTGTTCATAGGTGATGTCTTTTCTATACTTTAGCTCCAAAATAAGATTTTTTAGTAAATCACTTATTCAGATAGTGGTATTTTGATCAAATTAATATATTTACTTCATAATTTTAATTTTAGATTAAGAAATTTATCTGAATCCTTAAAGCTATATGTAGCTATGTTTTTGTTATCCTTTTACACTTATAAACCTTAAGATATTATGCCAAAAGCTGATAAAAAATTCAAATTAAATTTTTTTCTCCAGATTTTGGAATTCACAAACATGTTAAAAATATAAACACTTTTTATAGTACACTAAATGAAATAAATCTATGATATCCATGCATTTCTTCAAGTGATTCAGAAGACAGTAAAACATATATCCTCATGTTATTCATATCTAGGATAATTTGGTGGCAAATCACTCCCAATTGTACATTAGAATTCACCTTGCACTGATTTACTTCGAAAAGTAAAACATAATTATGTGAATTCAAAGAATATAACTCTGTGTTACTATTCATTGTTAAATTGCACTCATTCTCTTGTCAGCAAACTGATTAGTAAATAAAATATCCAGGCAATACATTAAAACACTCCTCAAGAATAAAATGGAGTTAATTTATGTTTTGATGTCCTGAGATTTTTGCTACCAATCGCCAAATGAATAATCCAGAAATTTACATTTACACTTCTGATGATCGTGATCAGACCAATTAAAATTACACATCTAATGTTTGAAAGTTAAGAATTTGTTATATGGTGTGTTGATTTTGGTCAAGCAGTTGACAGACATTTACAGTTTAATATATATTTGAGCTTTCAAAATGATATCAGTTCCAGTTCTGATTAAATGTGTGACCTACTCAGTTCAAAGCTCAATTTCAATCAAGCTACATTAGGTAAGTTCTCACTTAGCACTTTTCTGGCTCCAATAATCTGATTTAATACATAAATTCTAGCTTTAAAATAAAATGCCATCACTATCATCAGCCAGTAGGCCTATTTGCAGAACTGAATCATATGATATTAGCCACACAAAGATTTGCCTTTAGGATTGTCTAGGTACTCTATATTTTAAATGTGCTTTTGTAAACCTTCCTCAATGCATAGTTCAAACTACGATAGTGTTTTGTACAGGACTCAATATGACAATCAAACTTAGTGAAGGAAAAAAAAGTTAATAACATTATGTGAATGGTAATAACAAAAATGTAATACTTCTCCAGACTTTTTTTAAGTATTTTTTTATTTTTTCAGACCTATCAAAGCCTGGAAAAGCAATTTTCAAATGTAAGACATTTTTCCAGAAATCCAGACCTGTGCAAGAACCCTTGTTGGCTATCTGGCAACAATATCAACAATTCCCACCATTGATATATATGTTGTCCTTTCTTAAATTCTGGAAGTTAATCAGTTTGGAGTTTTATAACTTTAAATCATCCTGATTCAATTTTTTTGTCATATTTAGAATGTTAGCTGCTTCTGTAAAGCTCTTTAACCCTTTCCCTCATAGAGTGTATGGCTTTTTAGCCCTTCGATATACAGGTAACAAAGTTACACAGTGCAGTCCACTACGCATAGACCTGTTAAGCAGTAAAGTGTATGTTACATTTAACAGCAATTTTAAATATTTTACATTTTGGGTAAACATATATTATGTATGGAAAGATTTAAGAGAAAAATATGGTTGTTATAGCTATATAATTACTTTTAACAAAAGAATTTTGTATGTACTTGTAAAATCTTGAGAAAACTCGTTCACTATCAAATCAGTCAAGCCGCATGATGAACGGCAGTGGCAAATACTCAAAATTTACAAGTTCTTTGTCTGCGTCTACATCACAAAATCAGTGTAAATTGATAATTTATACAAATTAAGGCTACCTACACCAGTCTCAGAGATTTTCCCCAAGTTATTGAATCGTTCATAGCTGTGATTCTACTGGTTCAAAAACTGAATGATATCAGAGACCGCCATTTTGTTGAATGGAGAATACGACCCAGTTACGACATACTTGCTTTAAATAGCAGATTGCAACCAGAGCATCAACAGTGACCACATGATCTGATGCAATGGTCATTCTCACCAATGAATGTAGTATCTAACAGGGGGTTTTCCCTGAAGGAGGTGCTATGAAAACCTGCTCAAAATAGCTGTTGTTTACAGTGTTGCCAAAAGGCACTTAGCGTGACATCGGGTAAATTGCCAAAAGACGCTTATATTAGGTAAAGGGTTAAGGCACAAAAAGCAAGTGAATATCACAACATTTTCACTGCGATTTCACTGAAATTTCATTTACATCTTCACTTCAGTACGAGTTTTGCAGAGACTATTTTAATAGGAAGCAAAACAATTATTTTTCAGAGTAACATCAGATGAAGTCCAAATCTGCACCAAATTTTCTATATCAAAAAATTCATCTCAGCTTTTGATAAAGTTCAAAATTACACTTAACATTTTTGCTAAAGTCAGTCTAAGTCCAAAATCCATCTTAAAGTAGGAAAATGAACTGGACAATCTGAACTTTTCCATCTAACAGTTATCCTTTAGGAGGAATATGAGAAATAGTAATCTTAACAATTAGACGGATTCAGTCTATCACCTAAACTGTATTCCCAGTCCACCTCAAGTCAGTCTGAAATTTAGGGGTTTTAAGCAGAATACACCCTGAATCCACCTAAAATCCAGGCAGAATCTGCCTAAATATTTTGTATGGGTAGCTACCTTGTGTTAATTGGGGAGGGTGTTATTATTAGTTACCCCAACCCAACCAAGTATTTGGTAGAGAGCCATGAGGTTGTTCAGGACTAAAGAAAAAAAAAAGAATTTTATTTGCAAACAGTATGTACAGAAAAACAAGTTTAACAACTCATGTTCACTTCTCCTGGCCACAAAAATGAATATTCATAAGTAACAGTGACATTCTCTCTTGACTTCTATGATGGTCTAAGTGGTTAGAACGTCAGCCTTGGATGTAGAAGGTTACAGGTTCAAAACCCGGCCAAGTCACACCAAAGACCTTTTAAAAATGGTACCAGCTGCCTTGCTTGGTGCTCAGCATTAAGAGGTTAGTGTTAGGGCTGTACAGCCTTGTTAAGATAATGTAACTGGTCGGGACATGATGTCCCAGTGCTAAACATCACAATAAACATAATAGTGACATGACTCAAATTGTTAAAGCTACGTTAACACACACACACACACACACACACACACACACACACACACACACACACACACACTTTTTCACCGCATATAAACTCTACTGTATACTGCTGTACACTGCATCAATCAAGGACTGTGATCAAAAGGTATGAATTTGTATTGAGTTATTATTTCATACACTCATATCTAAATGTTACAGCATACTTAACTGACACAGATGGGACATGGCCATTACTATAATTTATAGCCATTTCTTCACAATCAGAGCACCTCCAACCACCTTTCTAAAAAAAATTGTGCATTAGAAATAAGAGGCCGAAGTTCGATTTTTAATAGTTTCTAATGGGTATTTCATTCTAAAGGCACAGCTTACCGACTTCTATCAGGAACATGGACTGCCTCGAGTTGTTAGGTATGTCAACTTCTCGCTCAAACATCCAGTGAACGGATTTTGTCGGCTGCAATATTACCGCTTGCACTACCTCCTTAGATAAGAGCTTCAGAATAGGCTAAGAGATATATCTGAACTAAGGTCAAAGTTTGAAACCCAGAACCGGAATAGCGCTTTTATACTCATCACCAACTCAAAAATTAGTTGATTTAAAGTATTATTATTGTTGTTCTTGTTGTTGTTATTGTTATTATTATTATTATTATTATTATTATTATTATTATTATTATTATTATTATTATTATTATTATTATTATTATTATTATTTCTTTGCATAGACAAAGGAGTATAATATTCACATATTGTCAAACATGAACAGATGTTGTACTAACTCTTCAATAACATAGAATAAGGATGATTATGGGCATCACCGTTCAACGTCCGTGTCAATGAAAGTAAGTCCTTTGTCGACGAACTGTGCAGCCATCTAGTAATATTCCATATGAAGTCCGAGAAAAAGAATGGAAACTGGCATCATTCAGAGACTTTGTGTACATAACTGAATAAAAAAAGACACCCACCAGTCCCATCACACTTAAGTATCAAGATTTCTTTGACGATAATCATACTGCCATACAAAAACTTCTAAATAGGAAAAATCGATTACAGAAGGCTGGTTTATCGGGTTACAACATCAACAGGACTGTCCAATACAAACTCAGAAACTTGTTATAATTTTGACTGAATGATAGGACAGATGATATTAAATCTTAAGTAAACAGGAATGACGTGAAGAAGTTTCATGATTATTTGAAAATACTTCAAAGGCAACAATCATTACGAATATCTTCAGCAGCAGAGAGGGTGATCACTACAACTTTTTGCTTTTTGCCTAATAAAAGGTTCCTACAACTGGCTGAAAAAACTAATGTCAATAACCCTAAACCAAAGTCTCTAACTGAGTATATTTCCATACGTTAAGAACCGGTAATAAATCGTTTAGGTTAGCTCAGTTTTGTTATCCCATTATTGACTTTTTTCTTCAATTTTTTATGCGATTTTGTTTAGTTGCGAAACGGCACTCAATTGATGTCGTTGACCCTTCATGCTGCCATGAATTAACCAAGATTTTATCGAGACGAGCTCAGTTTTGTTACCCAAAATGTATTGTCATAAAAAAATAAATAAATTTCAAAGACCTTTATTCTTTTCTTCTCCTAATTATAATATTTACTATATGAGCGTTTGTACAAACTATTATATAATATCTCTCCTCTAAGATCCACGATATTGCTATCCTGATTTGTGAGTTTGAAATTCATTCTTGACAATAATGGATTATATGCACGCAAATAGACTTGATTTATTGGCTCAAATATATACATGGTAACTACTATCAATTATATCGCATACTGGATTCAGTGCGATCGTGGATGTTATATTAACAATATTAGGTGAAATATGACGACCTGTTCCAAATGGGTCATTATTATATCTGAGAACTGTTGGTGGCGAGATTAATTTTTTTCCATGAAACATATTATTTTAAAGTGTTCATCAATAAGATCATAAGCATTTGAGCAAGAATATGTAAAATAGGTCCGTGGTATAAGCGTTGGAATGTGATACTCAAGGTTGCTGGTTCGAGACTTGTGACAACCAATTTGCAACGTAGGCGATTTTGATGCCATTTTTCTATTAAAAGTGGGGAACGAAGTTCAGGAAGATTGAATACGTTCACACGCCATGCACCACGTGGCGTGATACACTTTTGCATCACTCACGGGGTTTATGATGGGTGAGTGTATTCAATCTGCTGGATGTAGGTAAATCCCCGCTAGGATAAGTGTATCTTTGTGCCGTCTGCAAAAATCAAAATCATTTGTATATAGTTCATATGCATTTGTATATAATCATTATATGTAACATCTGACCTTACTAAGATGTTGTATGAAACCTAAGGAGATCACATTGGGTTTGTGCAGTCTGCAACAATCGTCATGTCCATCTGTATATATTAATGTTCATACAATCGTGATATGTAACATCTGACCTTACTAACATGTTTGACAATTTAGGAGATCACATTTGGTTTATGCCGTCCTTTGAATTAAGTTCTTAGAGTTAAGTTTATATGTTACCTCTGGTCCTACTAAGATGTTGCTTGACACTTTAGGGGATCACATGGTGTTAGTGTCCTCATTATGACCATCTTTATATAACCATGTTCATACAATCATTACATGTAACTTCTATCCTACTACGATGTTGTTTGACACCTTAGGGGAATCACATGGGGATTAATTCAAATACCCCACAACTTGCCACAACAGGTTATATCAAATGTTGAGAGTTCATATGGGGTTGTCTTGTGATTATATGTTTTGTTATTATTTTTTGTTATATATATATATATATATATATATATATATATATATATATATATATATATATATATATATATATATATATATATATCTGTGTGTAAGTGTGCGTGTGTGTGTGATTGTGTAGTGAACAGTGAAAATATTGCTGATATTATTTCTGCTATTAAAAAATATAACATGACAGAATACAGATATCTGATTATCTTGATGCTGAAAAAATTATGCGTGACTTTGGTTCATTGTAGCAGAGAAAATTTCTAAATAAATTCACATTACCTTCCAATTACCTATTCGTAAAATGAATATATAATTCTATGTTAGAATCTTTAGCTATGGTAAATGACACACAGGTGAAGCTATTTGCACCTCTTGTGCGTGCAATCGAAAAGATAAAAAGTGCTTTGTCGCACGAATACGAAAGAAAAAAATGATAGACAATCGTGTAATGCAATTGAGAAATATTATGTTACTTGAATCTGTAATAAAAAAAAAAGTAAAACTGAGGACAGCGATAGTGAGGGCGGAACCAAAACTGTAGTGTGGCTAAACAAAACCCTTGGCAAGATTGACAGAGTCAAGCTATATACAGTAAAAAATATTTTTATGACTTAAGAGTACGCATTTATTTGACGTATTCAAATATTACTCATTGATCATATTTCATTAAATATGCATACTTGTTTACGACAAATTGTACCGATTGTGGATCAATGCCAAAATATCTGGCAGCTGCATTAATTGACGGGAAAGTTTTCTCCTGAAATGTTTCTGCAGCTATGGATTTAATCGCTCTCTTTCCAAATTTCTTACACTTTTCTGTATTTCCACGTCTGGAATTCTGACTCTGTGTAATTGCTTCTAGGTTAGATATGTGGTTCAAGGTGATCAATAACAAATACATCATTAACGACTCCATAAAAGCACTCGTATATGAACTATATATATATATATATATATATATATATATATATATATATATATATATATATATATATATATATATATATATATATATAATTTATAATTTGTCTAAATCACTATTTTTTAATCCGGTCAGATAATCCTTTTCTGTCTTTATAAGGGATTTACCTGTCGAGATATCTTTTTTGTCATAATAGCGTTTCGATTCTCTATATATTTACGACCATATTGTGCACATGATTGAGTCTTTCCTCTAACTCCTATATCACACTGAACACACGGTTTTGGTCCGGTACTTCCATGTTTGATGCTCTGCATGTGATTTACTCAGTACTTGTTTACACATGGTTTATTAGAATACGAAATATGTCCAATTTTCAACCAATCACACGTATTTTCTTTTTTAATCAATATATATATATATATATATATATATATATATATATATATATATATATATATATATATAATTTAATTTGAATATTTGTCTTAATTATGATAATGGAGGAATTATCCGCAATTGAACCATCTGCTTCTAGATTTGATCTTGATAAACTATGACTACCAGAATATAAATTTAGTGTTTCGATGCAAGATCTAGCTTTGACGAATGTGGATATAAACAAACGATGGAGGTCAACTTTCAGAGTTGGAAATAATGTTAATCTGATGATTGACGAACCAGGAAACGTAATTATTAACCACCTTGATAATCAAAAATATTTTTTGTTAATAAAATTTATTGTAGAGAGAGAGAGATGGTGATATTTGGATTATTCGTGATAAAAGTGATCCCGTTTCATATACAGTCGGGAAATAATATTTGTTGTATTAAATAATAAATCCAATCCTATAATACTGACTATTATTGATAAACGGTACTAGGAAAGAGGTTACCCTGTAACTATTGATGTATATGCAATTTATTTGCTGAATTATAAACTTTACGATGTGGATCTCAAACAGATGAGGCTGTGAGAGTCAAGAATAAACTTTGTAGCTGAACGAGTAACAGAACATTCCACAAATGCGATACGTGTTAATGGCTTAACAGATTTACGGCGTAAAAAATATGTAAATTGGCAGAAACGGTTAAATATAGTGGTGCATCTATTAAAGATGTTGCTGGACTAAAAATAGTTATT